CCACACTCATGTCACGAGTGGGGCCGTGCTCAGCGCTGTGACGTGGGCCTGTGTGTGTGCGGGGGGGGGGGCAGATCATGTGTGTGTGTCCCCACGGCCCCATGTGCCCCCCTGCCCCACCAGAGCCCCCCAAGTCCCCAACGAACATGCAAGGAACATGTAATGAATACATAGAGAACATGGGAGGAACGTGTAGTGAACACGCAGCTAACATGTGAAGAACATGTAATAAACATGCAATGCACACTCAACAGAACACATAACAAACATGCAATGAACACACGAGGGACATGTAACAGGGAAGGAACACGCAGAGAGAATGCAATGAACATACACAGAACATGTAATGAACATTCAGGAACCACAAAAAGAACATGCAGGAAACATGCAAAGAACATGTAATGACCACACAAGGAACACACAATGAACATGCAAATAACACGCAGGGAAAATGCAACAAACAAGCAAGGAACATGTAATGAACATACAGAGAACATGCCATGAACACAGGGAACACACAACCATGTAATGAACATGCAGCGAACATGCAATTTACATGCAATGAACACACAAGGAGCATGGGGGTACACACAATGAACACACAATGAACACATCAGCAGGGCCAGCTGCACCCCACAGCCTGCACGCTCTCTGTATGTTCCCTACATCTTCATTACATGTTTGCTACATGTCCCCACGTGTCCCACGCATGTTTGTTGCGTGTCCCTGCATGTAGTTTGCATGCTTTCTGCACGTTCCCTGCATGCTCTTTGCGTGTTCAACCACATTCTCTTTGCACACTGCGCACTGCGTGTTCCTGCATGCACTTTATATGCTTCCTCCATGCACTCTGCATGCTCCTTGCGTGCACTTTGCATGTTCCCTTCGCACTGTCAGCACGCTCACTGCATGCACCTTGCATTCTCTCCCCATGTTCATGGCGTGCTCTTTGCACATCGTGCACTCCATGGATTTGCACGCTCCCTGCATGTTCCCTGCGTGCACTCTGCACACTCCCTGCATGCTCTCCGCGTGTTCATTATGTGCTCTTTGCACGCTATGCACTGCATGTTCTTTGCACGCCCACTACGTGCACTTCCCATGCTCCCTGCATGCACTTTGCACACTTCCTGCACCCCCCACACGCTCTCTGCATCCAAGTGCTCTTTGCACGTTCCCTGCACGCTCCTTTCATGCTCTCTGCACACCCAGCGCTGTGCACTCATCCCACAACCACACACACACACACACACACACACACAGCAGCTCCCCCTGCACAGTGCTGCCCTCCATTTATTGCTTCCAATCAAGCTGTACGCATCCATCCCTGCGCTCACATCCCTCCAACCCCCCCCCCCTCCATGCACACCCCCGGGGCACAGAGCAGCAGTTCCTTCATCCAACCCCTCCTGCACCTCAAACCCACTGCCCTGACCCCACAATGCCCACCCAGCACTGTGTGCCCCATCGCACAACGCCTGCTCCCTCCTCCCAGCAGCCTGCAACCTTTCTTTTTTCCCTTTCCTTTTTTTTTTTTTTTAATAATAGAAATCGCTATCGAAACAAAACGAAACAAAAAAAGACGAACAACCAAACGAATCGATCTAGAACATCTCTTACAAAAATACTCCTGCTATACTGCAGTGATTACATCGGAACGCCTTAAAAATATAAATCCATTTCTGTAAGGAAACGTCTGTGCGGTGCTGCGGGGACGGCGCTGCGCAGCAGGGATCGCTCAGTGGCACATCTGTGCTGTCATCTCCTTCTGCAAAGGGACCAGGAGCATCAGGTACAGAACTGCAGCACGGTCATCTGCCCCACTGCAGGCACCCCTTAATGCCACACCCCCCTCCCAACACCAGTGGGGCAGGACAACCCACATCCAACCCTACAGAACCACTGTCACCCTTTAATGCCACCCCACCCTCCCAGTAGGGCAGGACACCCCACAGAACCACTGCTACCCCTTAATGCCACCCCTCCCCCCCGTGGGGCAGGACACCCCACAGCCAACCCCACAGAACCACCACTGACCCTTAATGCCACCCCCCCACAACACCAGTGGGGCAGGACAACCCACAGCCAACCCCACAGAACCACCGCCACCCTTTAATGCCACCCCACCCTCCCAGTAG